TGGCTGCCCTGGGGATCCTGTTCAAATGCAAGGTAGATGAGTACTCCCCTGCTCTTATCCCACTGAGAATAACCACAAAGCCCTTCATAACCCCCACCATGACATGACCCCACGACCCATGTGCCCTCATTTCAGGCGCTCCCCTTGCTCACTCAGCTCCAGCCACACCGGCCTCCTCAATATCTCTTGAACAGGCACACTTCTGCCCCAGGGCCATTGCTCTGACCATTCCCTCTGCCCAGAACGTTCTTCTTCCAGAGATCTACCTGGCTAACTCACTCACCTCCTTCAAGCCTTTGCTCATTTCACATCGTCTTAATGAAGTCTACCCTGAGCATCCTGTCTTAAAGTTGCATCTCACCCACTCCAAACTACTGGTTCCCATTACCCTAATCTCTTCTTTCCATGACATGTATCATCTTCCAGTGTGCTATATGATGTGCTTTCTTACTGTTTCTCATCTGCCTCCCCCACACTAGAATGTAAGCTCCATGAGGGTACAGACTTGGGTCTGTTTCACTCTTGAATGAATCCCAACACTAGAGCAGTGCCTGGACTCTAACAGTCACTCAGTCCATATTTAGTGAATGACTTGGTCGGCCTGAGCTTCCCCAGTGGCTCAAGCAGTGAAGAATCTGCCTGTGATGCAGGAGACTTGGGGTCAATCCCTGGGTCAGGAAGATCACCTGTAGAAGGGAATGGCTACCAACTCCAGTACTCTTGCCTGGAGAATCCCACGGACAGAGGAACCTGGCAGGCTACAGTCGATGGGGTCAGAAAGATTCGGACATGACTGAGCAAGCAAGCAGCTTACTGGGCTAAAAACATCAGCATCCCACAGAGGAATACCCCGACTTCAGTCAACCATTCCCAATGCCCAACTCGGTTCTAACCAGGGCCAGCAGGAACCTAACCAGCTCCAGGCATTAATCAGGAGAAGGGGCTTCCCTGGCCAGCTTAACTCACTTTCTGGCCTACGAAAGTCACTTCCCCTGTCCCAGATCCAGTCCCTCATCTGCTCAGCGGAGATTTTCTCCTGTTCTTCCTGCCTTGAGACAAACTGTAAAAGCAGTCACGGATATACACATTTAAAGCCATTAAAATTGGCCTCAACCACATTGGACTTCCCCGGTGACTCAGATGGTAAAATATCCACTGGCAATGCAGGAGACCCAGGTTCAATTCTTGGGTCAGGAAGATCCCCTGGAGGAGGAAATGGCAACCCACTCTAGTATTCTTGCCTGGAGAATCCCATGGACAGAGGAGCCTGGCAGGCCATGATCCATGGAGTCACAAAGAGTTGGACATGACTGAGCGACTAACACTTCACTTCATCCACACTGTGCACTTTGTGTTGGGGAGAGAGGCTCACAGGTGCTGTTCCTGGGGCCAAGAAAAGCAAGCAGAGGCTCTGTCTTCCTGCTGAAGTCACTAGGTCTCTCTAATGAGATTGAATATGGCCTATCACCCCACCGTAGTCTCACCCCTCTGGGGTTGAAATGACCTCATAGAAACAGGGCAGTTAAGTTGACCTAACATCATTCCAGCAAGTTCTATCATCCTTTTCAGAGGATATTAAGTTTTCACCAGCTTTTCTTATCTCCTCTTTAAGCTCTGGAAGGCTGGGACCTATTTTCCTCCTCTCGTACACAACCATGGGGCTCCACGAGTTGGTTAGCGATTTGGTCAGCATTTGGGACCTTGAGTAGCTGCCCTCAGCTTGAGGAAAATGTGGAGATAGCCAACACTGTGCCTGCCTCGAGTGACAGGTTCCCCCTTGGGGTTACAGTGGGTATTTATGAGACATTTTCTGGAGCAAAATGCTTGTGCAAATACATCCCAGGAAATCCCAAGATCCCAGTGGGGAAGATATTCTGAGCTCCATCTATCAGACAGACCAACTAAGGGGCAGAGTCTGGAACAGAATACTCTGAGTTCCATCAGTCCTGCCCAGTATCCCATCTCTCAAAGCAGAGACACAGCCTCAGTTGGAAAACTTGAACATGTTTTGCTCATTTTCAACACAGAACCTTTGCAGAAACAGCCTGGTCTTCTGGGCAAGCCTCTGGAGGCACCACACCCCTCAAACTGGGCTCATCCCTCAAGATCCAGCCCAAAGTCCACCTTCTTCTGGAGGCTCTTCCTGCTGTCCCCAACCCAGAGTTAATTACACTGTGTTCCTGCCCACAGATTTGGCTGAACACATGCTATCTTGCAACATCTCATGTAATTGCTTTGTATGGTGGGGAGCGGGGGAAGGATTTGGTCCTTAGGTCATTATTTAACTGTTCATGTATATATCTCTTCTCTCCCCAACATGCCTATCAGCTCTAGGTAGGAATCACCTCCGCTCATTCACTATTTCACTCAAGTTTTTCCTTTAAGAAATATTCTATGCCATCCTAGCAATAAATAGATGATCCATGATTGCTGCCCTCACAGAACTCATATTCCTTATTTATTCTTTGATAGTGATCGTGTTAGTCACTCAGTTGTGTCCAACTCTTTGTGACCCCGTGGACTGTCCATGGAATTCTCCAGGCAAGAATACTGGAATGGGTTGCCATTTCCTACTCCAGGGAATCTTCCCAATACACGGTTTGAACCCAAGCCTCCTGCATTGCAGGTAGATTCTTTACCATCTGATCTACCAGGGAAGCCCATTTATTCTTTATGTCCCTGCTATGATTCCCCATGGGACCTGCTATAATTCATCTGTAACCAGCAGGCAGGAGTTAATAGTGACAGTCTCTGGCTAGCAAGTTCCAGCTGCATGTGTCTTTTTCATCTGGTCAAAGCCTAGTGAAGACTATTTTTAAGTAGAAAAGCAGGAAGGGCCACAGAGATGGGGCCTGAGCAGGGCTGCCTCTGGATGACAAGCCTAGAAGGGAATTCCTTCTGGGAGAGACTAGAAGCTCCAACCACAAGAGAGTCAGTGTTCGTGGGTTCTGAAGGGGTCTTTAGGCACACCAAAGGCACCCTCATGGCCAAGATGGGGAAACTGAGACACCCGGCGGGCTTGTGGCTGATCCAGTGCAGGGCTCCCAGCACAGTGCTCTTTTCCTGGACCCCCTGAGGTATAATTTCCTGCTAAAGGAAAAGATGCATTTTCCCACTTAGCTGTTGGAAGTCACTCTGGCACACTCTGGCAGGTGGAAAGAAGTGTGGGGAGACCAATTCACAACAGTGGCTTCCGTTACATTTAACTAGGCTGGAAAACGCTTGTGCTCTGACTCTGAGTGTCTCCTCCATGCCCAGCGCTGGGCACGGGATGGGAGAGGGGGCTGACTGTGCTCCAGGAAGTCACACAGAATGATCAGCTGCTTGGCAGGTGTGGCCAGTGGGCCCCTGACGGGCACGAGCTCTGTGAGTGAGAGGGGCTGGGCTTGACTGGAGTCCTGCCCTCCCTGGAAGCCCCCTGACCCTCTCTGAGTTCTGTGTAGGGTGGGTGGAGGTGTGTCTGCCCTGCCCACCAGAGCACATGGTGGAAGACTAAATGAAACACCATATGAGGAAGCACCTGTCCCGGAGCACACACTCCGTTCATTTTCACCCATTCAGAAGGCAGTTTTCATTATTCCCAACCACCTCCTTTGTTTCCCAAATCCCAGAAAAAGTATCCTGGCTAGTCTTTCTGAAGCAGGAATCGATGAGAGCGTGTGACCCCAACTGCCTCCTCCAGGGGCCATGATCCTGATGCTCCTGCTCATCCAACCACCCTCAGAATGGGTACTTTGGGTTCACCACTTGACGCCTGAAGCCAACGTGCTTCCTTTCCCTGTTCCTCACTTTTCTTACCTGTAGAAAGGGACTGCTCATGAAATAGGGACAAATCTGACTCCATATTGTTTCACTTTAACCTTTGTGTTGTATTGTTTTTGCTACTAAAGGGATGTTGCCTGTAGCTTGAAGTATACATAACTGCCCATCTCTAGGAACCCTGTGGGCTTCCCTGGTGGCTCAGGGGTAAAAAAAAAAAAAAAATCCACCTGCTAATGCAGGAGACATGGGTTCAACCCCTGAATCAAGAAGATCCCATTGGAGAAGTAAATGGCTACCCACTCCAAATTCCTGCTGGGGAAATCCCATGGACAGAGGATCTTGGCAGGCTAGAGTCCATGGGGTCAGAATCAGATACGACTTAGCCAGTAAACAACAAAGAACACTGCCAAGGAACACCTGAGCATTAAGCTAAAATACCTTTGTTTAGCTCACAGGAAACCACCTGATCAGACCCACCTGTGAGTGGCTGCAGGCAAGAAGAAATAACACATTCCCTCTGGAGCCTGGCCAGAACCAGAAAATATAAACAACAACTTATCACCTTCTTTTTACTTTACCTCCTTACCTCCCCCTCTTTGTTCTATTTAAGAAAAAAACAAACAAACAAACTAGCAGCCAAACCTGGGCAAGATGGTTCTTTGTGACACTAGTCCACCATCTTCTTGTCTGCTGTCCTTCTGAATAAAATTGCTATTCTTTGCCCCAACAACTCATCTCTCTATTGATTGGCCTGTTTTGCAGTAATCAGGGCGAGCTTGGACTCAGTAACAGCAGACTTACTCCCGTGAGGTTATGTGGCTCCACTGAGACCCTGCAAGTACATATTCCAGTGGGTCCCACTGGATACATGCTCCTGATTCCCTTCCCTCTCCTTTCTGGAGGGGGCTATTCTTCAGAGAGGGTGGGAAAAGACCTAGAGGCGGGGCAAGAACCTCTTGTCCTCAGCTACCCCACTCTCTTCCCGCCCCTTTCTACACCCTAAGCACAGGAGATGCCGTCACTGCTCCAGCCATCAGAAACACATGCAACGCGGGCCAGCTGCTGCTACCACCACCATTCCAGCCCAAGAGACAGAAGACATGTGTGAGACACTCTCCTTTTAGAAAAGAGGGCAATGGTGGGAGGGTTGCTGCAGGGACCCGGCTGTAGAAGACAAGCCACCTCCCTCCTCCCTACTCGGCTTCCACTTTTGAGTGTGGAGAAGTCTAGAGACTTACAGAAGTTAGATCTGGAGATAGCCTTGAAGGGGTTTCCCTGGTAGCTCAGCTGGTAAAGAATCCGTCTGGCAATGCAGGAGACCCCAGTTCGATTCCTGGATCGAGAAGTTCCCCTGGAGAACTTCCCCGGGAGAACTGAAGGGATACGCGCTCCAGTCTTCTTGGCCTTCCCTGGTGACTCAGATGGTAAAGAATCCACCTGCAATGAGGGAGTCTCGGGTTTGATCCCTGCTCTGGTTGGGAAGATCCCCTGGAGGAGGGCATGGCAACCCACTCCAGCATTCTTACCCGGTGAATCCCCATGAACAGAGGAGCCTGGCGGGCTACAGTCCATGGAGTTGCAAAGAGTCGGACACGACTGAGTGACTAAACACAGCACAGCACATAGCCTTGAAGATGACTTGTTCCATGACTCCCAAACACTTAAAATTAATTTTTACTTACTTGGGTAAAATTTTAACCGACTCACCTTCCTAAAACTGTGTATGCAGATTTTTTTCTATGAAAGATCTAATGCAACCTTTTCTTTCTTTTTTAAAAAAATTATTCATTTCTTTATCTGGCTGCATCAGGTCTTAGTTGCAGCACACAGGGTCTTTGTTGTGGTGCAAGACTCTCTAGTTGTGGCACGTGGGCCTAGTTGCTCCATGACGCGTGGGATCTTAGTTCCCTGACCAGGGATCAAACCCATGTGCCCTGCATTGCAAGGCACATTCTCAACCACTAGACCACCAAGGAAGTGCCAACCTCTCTTTCCTAGACGGGGAAAGAGAGTCGTTGGAGTGGGTGTGGCTTCCTGACGGTCACGCAGGAGTCGGTGGAGATGGAACTGGAGCCCTGGCCCCTAACGCGGGCTCCACGCCAAGGGGTCGACTGTAGACCCTGAGGCTGGGCTCTGCATGTCAGACACCGGGAGGAAGGAGGCAGGGTGGGGCACATGTGACCTAAGTGCAAAAAGAATCCAGGCTGATCCAGGAACTCGGTAAATTTATATCTTAATTCCTTTTCCTAAGAATTGGTTCTTGGAACAAGGTCAGTATTTATAACTCAAGCTTTTGCAGGAAATTAAAATATTATTTTCGTCTTTTGTTTTTGAAAGGTGCCAAGAACCATTAGGCTCTGGGAGTCCCAGAGGGAGGAAATGTGGGCCTCAAATATCAGGCCTTGAAGGATGTCTGTCTCTGGTTCCCACTGTGAGTCATGGCTTGAGACCTTCTGCAGAGTAGACTTGCCTGGCCTTCCTTGCTTTCTCCACCTTGCCTTGCCTTTCTTTTCTTCCCTCCTTCTCCTTCTTTTAACCCTATCTAGTTTGCACCCACAGAAGTTACAGGCCACAGAATGACAAGGCCTTACTTTAGGGCGGCAGCCCCAGCCTGTCCCCAGGACACTGGTTCCGCTAGAGCAGTGGAGTCTCTGGCAATTCAGTGCACATCGGCATAGTGCAGGCTCCACCTGGTCAGCTGACAAGAAGGCATTGCCTCTTTCCAGATTTTGTGTTCACCTGGACCTACACCTGTGATCCTTGAGATGAAGAGGGCTCAGGGCCGTGGCAGCATGACATAGCTCAGAAAATCTCTGGACAGACTCAGGACCCTGGTTTTATCACCAAGGATGTGCTAGCTCTCCTCCTTATATCTCCACCTGGTGAACCCCTACACCAGCTCAAGGGCCACCACAAACGTTCCCCTCCTCAGCCCGCTCCTCCCCAAGAGAAGAGCTTACTTAGTTCTCTCCTCCAGTTCTCACTGAACTTTACTTTTGTTCTGTCAACACACAACACTAATTGATACATTCTGGTGTGTGTGTGTGTGTGTGTGTGTGTGTGTGTGTGTGTGTGAGAGCTCTGTAACCAGATGTCATGTGTACCTACACAAACACACACCACTAACAGTATCACCTGTGAAAAGTGAGACCTTTCTGTTATTGAAGGAGAAGAATTTCATGGGAATTTAATATACCACAATAATTTATTAACAAATTAATTTACGTCATATATTGCTCTTCTTATCAGGAAAGAACAATAACTATCTTGATATGCGTCCCACCCACTGAAAGTTAACTCAGTTCTCTTCCTATGTCAGTAAGCATTCTCCAGTCCCTTACGGAGCAATAAACAATTCTTCCTGCTTCTGGGTCTGAGAGGAAGTTGAGTGTGCTGGGAGGGAACCCTGGTGTGAGAATGGGCTGCCCCTCTACAACCTCTAAACAGGACTCTTATTTTTAACTGGAGGCAGTTAAACCAGATTACCCTGGAGGGGAGGAGAATGGGTCTGGTGCTCTTAGACAGAGGTAAATGTGTTTTTAGGTGAAGAGCGTTTGTCATTAGAAAGAGTACACCACACACCACAGATCACTGAACACAATGTCTTCCTGAAATACCACAGTTGACTCATTCCCACACTAGCATTGATAGAGACATCTTTTAAACATCTGGGACCCAGGGTGATGTGGGGGTGCTAACATCCCCGGGTGGGGATTCCCAGCTCCCTGCACACAGGGCCAGGAGGGCCAGGCCTGCATCTTGTGTCACCAGGAGCAACAGCTACCATGGCAACTAGAGGCTGCAAAACCCCCTTTTAAGAATGCTAAGTCCCTAGAGGGCCTTTTGTAAACCCAAGGGAGAGGAAAAAGCAGGAATATGACTATATAAGGATATGAAGGATATGACTATACAGGATACACTCCTCCTACTTGAGGGTCCAAAATAATTCCATTTCCTTTTAATAAAAGCAAGCCATGCCTGTAGTGAAAACTGCAAAAGCACAAGAGAACAGGCAAGGAGAGGAACATCCCTCCCATTTCCACAGGTGACGCTATGAGTGGTGGTGGAGGTATACACATGACATCTGATTACACAGCTGCTCCCCCGACACATACACCTGTGCGCCAGAATGTACAGTTCTGTACTTTGCCTTCTGTTGTCTGCTTTGAAGATTGTTCTACGTCAGCTCACTCAGTGCCACTGGTTCTTTTTAATGACTAAAATTTCTAGTCCCTTTCAATGGATTCAACCTGACTTAGACACCATCAGGAGTGTGACATTACTTGGAGCTGACTGTCATGGTACAACTTCATTCCTATACTTATGTAGGTATTTAATATTCCATGTGTTACCAAGATTTGTGTCTGCATCTCTATCCCTCCTAAGAAGTGAGCCCACCAACTGCAAGGGCTGAGATGGAAAGTGGTTTAGCAGTGGTCCAGGAATGTGGTGGGGCGGGGTAGGGACAACTATAAGGGGACTCAGAGCGAGCTCCTTTGCAGTGACACAAAAGCTCCATATCGCGATTGTCATGATGGGCACAAATCTACACGTGTGACACACAGAACTACACACACACACAGCCCGACACACACACCATGAACACACACAGATAAGCATGTGCATGTGAACATCGTGTGGCTGTGCCTATGTCAGCTTCCTGGATTTACTATTACCCTGTGGTCTTATTGCAGATACTGCCACTGGGGAACGCCGTGCAAAGGGCACATGGGGTCTTTCTGTACCATATTTACAACCTCCCCTGAATCTATAATTATTTCAAGGTGAGAAGCTAGAAGGTTGGGGTCTGTGACGTCCTGGCATTCTATTCCCAGGTTCTGGTGCAAGCCCTGGAACAGAGAGGCACTGAAGGAGCGGACCTTCCCTGTCTGTACAGGGAGGCCCCTGAACTAAGTGATCTTCACACTTCCAGTCTCCATGTCCTGTTCTGTGCAGGCGGCATATAGTCCTGCCTTGGAATCAGTCAACAGAGCCTTTCTAAGCACTGACTCCCACAGTCCCCCTGCTCTCCCTCTCGCCCCACAGCCCCCTTGGGCAGAGACCCCCTGCATCTCCAGCAGAATACACAGTGACTAAGATAGAAGGTGTAGCACTTTCTGAAGTGATGCTCCTGAATGCCTCTGACATGAGCAGGGGAGAATGTGTCAGATGTGTAGCTCAGCCTGCTGTGCTCCACGGGCTGCAGACACACAGCCAAGTGAAAGAGCTGGGTGATAATTAAGTCTAGGGCCTCTGGGCTCTCAGGCTCACCTTCCTCCACGTGAGGTTGCCTTTCCATTACCTCTGTCAACCAAGCTGGACTTGCTGGGATTTAAAGGAGACACTGGCATGTCGTGGACAGTGCTGGGGCTGCGCTCTGACTACCTTGCATCATTCCCGGGACCCTGCCCGCCTCCCATGGTAGACCCTCACCTCTCCTGGGGGAAACTGCCATCGGCGGCTGGAGTGGCCCCACGCTAAAGTGAAGAATTCAGGGCATTCCTGGAAGTAGGTGTCCTCTTCCTCTTCTCCCAGTGGGTGGTGGGCGGCAGCATGAAAGCCCAGCCCAGCCTAGGACGTCTCAAGTGTTCACACTCCAGGCTACCCTGTGGAATTGGCAGAAGCTGTCCTCATAGGCCTTTGTCTGAGGCTCCCCAGGCTTTGTCCTGCTTCCCCATTCCCTTACCTGTGTCCCCAAATTCATGCCTCACTATCTGCTTTGGGACAACCCATCTGAGCAATGCCATCCCTCAACAGGTCTAGCCATTGAGACCTGTCTCAGTGCTGCTCCTAAAGGAAGGGAGGCTGTTCCTCCCAGGGTGAAGTTTGGTGAGGAAAAGATGGTTAGAAGAGCTGAAAGCAAGGCCTAAGAAGGAAGAAGTAGTAGTTATTCTATCAAAGCTGACATCAATTACAAATTTAACTTGCTATTGACAAACTATGACGCAGTAAGAGATCTGGGACCCTCTAGAAGACCTAGGAAGAGGAACCACAGTTTGCCTCTCTTCAGGAAGCTGGCCTGTCGACTTTCGCCCCCCAATTCTCCATTTTATCTTCCACTTCCCTCCCTGCCATGCCCCAGCCCTAGGCACCAGGGCTGTCTTCAGACTCCATGATTTAAAAAGTGCTATTAAGGCAAGAGTACATACAATAAACTACAAATATTTCAAATGTACAATTTGATATGTTTTGACTTATATATAGATCCATGAAACTCACCACAGTGAAGATAGTGAACATATCCATCACCCCCCCAAGTGCCCACTGTTTTAATCTTAAATCAGTGTCAGGAAGACGCAGCAATGTGGGAGCAGCCACAGTGAATGTGCAGGGACACGGGTCCCAGGTGGCATCCTGATCACACTGTTCCTGAAAGTGAATTTGCTGTGTACTAGCCACCAGTTCTTTACAGCACTGGACCTTGCTTCTATCACCAGTCGCATCCACAACTGGGTATTGTTTTTGTTTTGGCTCCATTCCTTCATTCTTTCTGGAGTTATTTCTCCACTGATCTCCAATAGCATATTGGGCACCCTCTGACCTGGGGAGTTCCTCTTTTGGTATCCTATCTTTTTGCCTTTTCACACTATTCATGGGGTTCTCAAGGCAAGAATACTGAAGTGGTTTGCCATTCCCTTCTCCAGTGGACCACATTCTGTCAGACCTCTCCACCATGACCCGACCGTCTTGGGTGGCCCCACACGGCATGGCTTAGTGTCACTGAGTTAGACAAGGCTGTGGTCTGTGATCAGATTGGATGGTTTTCTGTGAGTATGGTTTTAGTGTGTCTGCCCTCTGATGCCCTCTCGCAACACCTACCATCTTACTTGGGTTTCTCTTACCTTGGACGTGGGGTATCTCTTCACGGCTGCTCCAGCAAAGCGCAGCTCCTGCTCCTTACCCTGCATGAGGGGTATCTCCTCACAGCCGCCCCTCCTGACCTTGAACGTGGATTAGCTCCTCTTGGCCCTCCTGCGCCCATGAAGCTGCCCGTTTCCAAGACAAACCATATCATGGTAATCAAACAATATCATGGTAATGCAAGCCTATGCCCCAACCAGTAACGCTGAAGAAGCTGAAGTTGAATGGTTCTATGAGGACCTACAAGACCTTTTAGAACTAACACCCAAAAAAGATGTCCATTTTCATTATAAGAGACTGGAATGCAAAAAGTAGGAAGTCAAGAAACATCTGGAGTGACAGGCAAATCTGGCCTTGGAGTACAGAATGAAGCAGGGCAAAGGCTAACAGAGTTTTGCCAAGAGAACGCACTGGTCATAGCAAACACCCTCTTCCAACGACACAAGAGAACACATGGACATCACCAGATGGTCAACACTGAAATCAGATTGATTATATTCTTTGCAGCCAAAGATGGAGAAGCTCTATACAGTCAGCAAAAACAAGACCAGGAGCTGACTGTGGCTCAGATCATGAACTCCTTATTGCCAAATTCAGACTTAAATTGAAGAAAGTA